AAAGAGTGTCTGAAGATAGCAAAGTTGCATACAATCTGGTAGCACTGTATGTATTAACAGTCTCAGTTGGGTGAATGGCATCCCAATACACATGCAAGGCTCTGTTCAAGCATGGAGTTCCCAAAGGAATACATTGCCCAATATCATTCACTGGGCAGCACCCAACATTCACAACACTTAATCCTGAAAATTTATTTGAACAAAATTAGATAATATTGTAATAATATATTATAGTACTAGCTAGCTACTGCTACAAGATTCTTTAACACCGAATTAGCTAGCAGTTTTATTTCGAAAAACCTTGTGATTAATTAATTTCTTTTAGGGGAAAAGGGATAATTTCAAATTATGGTATTTCCCTTTTACCTACATATAAGAGATAAAAAAAAAATTACATGTAATGTTGTGTTTCTTTTTTTTTTTTTAAACCATGATTATTACGTGGTCAAATTAATCATCTGAAATCACCTTGTGATTAACTTCACCACATAATAATCATGGTTTTGGGGGGAAAAAAAAGGAGAAATATATATAGCACATGTAATTTCTTAATATCTTATGCGTAAAAGGGAACTAGGATATGAAAAGTTGACACCTTATCATTGGAGCCTCATAATGTAGCCGTCACCAAGCATATTAAGCATGTGATTACGTAAATGTTTTGAAATTTGAATGTTAGAGTTATTATTATTAATGTTATTATTATTATTACTATTTGGTAATTGAATATAAAGTAAGATTTATGTATCTATATGTAATTACAATGCGTTGACTGGAATCTTTTATGAAGTAAATTTTGTATTCGTTATAATATGAGCAATATTATGCGAGTAAAGAAAAATTAAAAAAAAAAGGTTGAGAACAGTGTATACCAAGAGATGTAATTAGATCATCCAACGTCCCCAATATTCCGAAAGGGTTCACATAAATAAATTTGGCGTCAGTGAAACTCTTATTCAGTTGATCAACAAGTGCTATAAGCTTCTTGTTAAAAAGTTGGATCGCATCATTGATTTTGTCAACGCACGCAAACCCATTTGTGCTGAATGAGGAAATTGCATATGGAGTGCACCCAATTGGTCCCAATCCTGTCAACACAACCTTCCTTGCACCATAATTGTATAGCCTCTACAAAATTAATCCCACAAAAAAAATAAAAAAATAAAAAAATTAAACATTCAAAAGAAAAGGGGAAGAAAATATTGCACTTAATCCTTTCACTACATGTCTTTTGCATTATTGTGCCCCCGATAAAGAAAAATTAAACACATGCTCTCCAAATTTTGTAATATAATTGAATATTCCAATATTGTCAACTTCTTTTCTTTTTTTTTTTAAGGCGCAATATTGCAACTATTCCTCAACATCTTTTAATTTTTCTCAAGGGTTTCCTAGCGTATGCAGATTTTTTCAAGTCAATAATTAAATTCGATCCAACTTTCAATATTTAACGTTTTTCATCCATATATTTAATTGAAGGACTAATTTGACACGTTTATGTAATTAGGGTTAAATACGACACAATTTTCAACATATGGACTAATTCAAAAGAGAGAGAGAGAGAGAGAGAGAGTCAAATTTGGGTATTAAAAATGAATTTCAGGAGTAAATAAGAGTGAAATATACCATTATTTGATCACGATATTGTTCGATGAGAACTTGAGCGTATTGGTCAGGTGTATATAGATTGCTTGTTGGGTAAAAGCGAGGCACGAAGTAGTTGTTAAGGTAATCGTTACTGCCCATTCCAACGTAATATAAGCACTTAGTCAGGTACTTTTGTGCTGAGTCTCTATTTCCTAACATCTCTATCATTTGCGACACTGTAACTTCGTGATTCTTCAACTGTCCATCCATGCTGATACGCTCACCCTGCAAAGAAAATGTGTCAACTTTTAAGTCATCTCCTATATATACAGCCAAACGCTCATCAACTATCTATATTATAATATGATTTTCATCTTTAATTATAGCATATAATGTATGAAAATGTTAACGACACCAATTCTAATTTTAATTTTTGTACCAATTGTTGCCCAGATTCGTCACGAATTCCAGCCGCCCCAGATGCATAGTTGACACCTCTGAGTATGACATCCCCCCTAGCAGTGGCAAATGGTGGAATGAAGTCAGAAAAGCCCAGAAGTTGACCTGTAATAAACTCAGGCACAATATTTATTTATTTATTAGCAACAGCAAAAGAAACTCACTAATCTGATTGGCTTTTTTTTTTCCCCTTCCTTGACAACTATTGTTTCATGATTTATTTTTATAGAATCACTTCACAACTATGTTTTCAGAAACCTGTCACAACAGCCACATAGGTTGTATTAAAAGTTAGACATATACATATATGAAGTATGTGCGTGTATAAAAGCTGTATTAGTAACTACTGGTCATTGTTAGTTTAACATAATTTACACTAATGAAGTGATATATATCATATATAGCACAATCATGAGATCATGGCTATCAAGTTTTGTTAAATTATCATGTTTATTTCAACGTGACTTGTATTTTTTTATTATTCTTATCATTAATAAATCTGTAAACTGAAAACTTTCCTTCAATGGGATTCTGGGGAACTTTTTCCATTTAGGGTTCATATAGTACCATTGAGTGCTTAGATTTTTGTTAACCAATAGAATCCGAACAAATCACTTCCTACACAAGATTCCATGTTGCAGAGAGCCATGTCCACATGACCGAAACACCGACCACCCAATATGCCTAGTTATACCCGAAGCTTGGCCATGGAGCATAATTTTTTTTTTTTAATCTTGATCGGGTATATACAAATGATCAATTCTGATGGTTTAAACTGTGCCTGATAGATTAATTTTTCATATTCAATCATTCATTGCAAGTCTCATATATATATGTATATGTATGTATATAAAGACAACATATATGCACATAATACAAACTGTAAATTCAATGACAAATTCATTATTGAGTCCACATAATTAAGGAGCACCAACAATCGAGATAGGAATCAAAGTATAAGTGATCAATTATTTTTATTAATATAAAGTTAGAAAGAATGATATTGCAAAGAGAGCACAAACCAAGTATGTCAGCTGTTGTTCGACCATTAGTAAACCTTCCGGTTGGAGTACCACGTGGGAAGTCAATCCCATATGGCTTGTAATTCACTTTGGCTAATGTATCAAGCTGGTTGTTGTTTCCGCTATCAGCAAGAGAGTCGCCAAATATGAAAAAACATGGTACTCGGGGATCTCCATTGACGCCATTAATACTAATTTGGATGTAAGCTACAACAGTCATAACAAATACAACTGCCTGCGGATGTTTTATTTGACCAGCCATTAAATGGAAATTTGTAAGATTTTGTTATTGCATAATGTGATATCCAAAAACCAAAAGTTAAATGCAAACTCTCACATTCAGAATGGATATATATATATATATATATGTGTGTGTGTGTGTGTGTGTGTGTGTGTGTGTGTATGTATACATGTACTTATAAGCCCCAAAATGAATCACAATGCAATGCGAGCTAGCTAGCTAGTGCCAGACTTGCACTCGCATAAAATAATGCAATTGAAATATAGATATCTATAATCTATATAAAAGTCATGATGAAATATGGATATTATATCCATAATCTATATTCTATGTTCTATATAAAAGTCACGAGGGTAGTGATAATGTTCAATAATTCTCCATTTTGCTTGTATGCCTTTTGGTTTATCATTTTTCTTTCTTCCGGTAGACTACAGGATCACGATGGGTATTTGACTTTTGAATAGATGGCTTTTAACGGATGCCCTCGAGTTTTATATATATGAAGAGATCCACCGTGTACAAGTGGTGTCCAAATAACATAAATTGGAAATATTCTTTGAGCTGTCTAGGCGTAGCAAGTGTTTTTTTTTTTTTTTTTTTTTTTTTTTTTTTTTTTTTTTTTTTGTGTGGCTGCAAAGACATAGCAAATGCTTAAAATGTAATTTGTCCCCACATAAATTAATCTTGGATAGTGACCTCATATGTACGTGCCAAATGGAGTTTTTATAAGAAGAAGGGCATAATATTTGAGAAAATGTTTCAGAACTTTTAGTTGTTAATTGTGAGATACATATTTAGATCTTCTAGCACTTATAGCTTATAATGGATCATATAATTACTTCATCATATATAATTAACAAAATTATAAGCATAGTTTTTGAAAAGTCCGTTTTTTACGCAGGTGTTACAAAGAGTGTTATAACACTTTCTGTAACACTTGTAATTAATTATAACGACTATGTACAGAAACATCAAAGTAAATGTGCAGAAAAAATAATGAACACCAGGAATTGATATTGCAGTTCGATGCGCACACATACATCTGCAGGGCCACACCTAGACAGTAAACAATTAACTAAGTCTTAAGATTACAAACACCAATCGGACTTAAACACTGAAAAACTCCCTCCTTGACGTTGTCGCTGCCGTGTCGAATCTCTATAATGACCTTGTCCAGTGAGCACTACTCATCTTCAAACTGTGCGGTAAAATCCTATCGGCTTGCAGTGCGCTTCCTCTTGAAAGTTTCTAATCCTTCTCTCGGAGGACAAACTCAATGAACACTCTTGAAGACTCACAAATGCACAAACTTTTTCTGAATATTTTTCTGTAAAACCATACCCAAAAATAACCTTGAATTGCTCTCAAATCTCAAAAATACACAAGCCCAATATTTCCTATTTTTCAAGGCACCGAACTTCACGGCCACACATGCTACATGTATACTTTTTTATTTTTGCAGAGCACGTGCACATCACTTTACTTCTAAAAGCATATGCTACTTTGGCACAAAGATAAATACCATTTACTCCCCAAATTAAATATATTTAAGATATCTCTTCAAATTAATTATGCAGCAAATCCTTTTTAAATTCAAACTTTATCTCCACTTTTCCAATATATGAGCACATTATCTCCAACAAATCTGCAAATCTCCTTGAATATGACAATAAAATCTTCTTTCAAAATCAAATAAATAAGACAATCAATTTAATATTCTTTCCTTAAATAACTCTCTCATCAAATATACATTTATCTCCATGATTACCCCAAAATTTTCTTTGACCAAATCAGCTTTCATTCTTCAAAACATTCCATATGTGGAACAATTAATCAGACAAAATATCATCATGATCAACCTAGAAACGTCACTTATCAAAAGTATTTGTTTTTAAATTTTTACAACTAATAACAACAAATTGCCAACTAAAGTCCTAACAATTTCAAAATTTTTCATATTATCTAGTCATTAATTAATTGTTAACAATTAGAAAATTTCTGCTTGCACGTCTTCATGGACGTGCTTTCACGCTAAATATTAATTATATGGGCGTATGCAACGTAAGGAATCAATAGTTTTCTTCTTCTATTATTTTTCGATTATAATATTTATATGTGGTTATTGAATGGGGTTTAGGTCAATGGATAAACAGTACACCTCCGATTTCTTGTGGGCATGCCCTTCAAGTTTCAGCTAATAAATTAAAGGTAGCTTGTAAGAAGCTGATAAATATTTTATTAATATCTTTTTTTATGTGACGCACAACAGCCTCATCTAACAATATGTTACGTTGTCATCCAATATTTAATTTCTTATTTTATATGTTGTAATATAAATAAATAAACAAATAAATAGGGGTTATAATACTACGATTATTTGTTGGTTTTTTTTTTTTTTTTTTTTTTTCCAAATTTCTTCCTTCTCTAATATAATTAACTGGTTCTTTTGATTGACAAGACAATGAACCTATTATCGACGTTGATTTTTTTTCTCCTCATAAGATCTTCTATATTTAACACTCAAAAGTTACAGATCTTTTTGAGATAGAGAGAGAGAGAGAGAGAGAGAGAGAGAGAGAGAGAGAGATTTGAAACATAAGACGTATCGAGATGATTGAAATAATAAATTGGCGTTTATATAAGAAACCTTCATTGGATATCCCACTAACTTAGGTTACCCACTAAGCTAGAACATCCGACAAGCGTCAAACCCACTACGAGCGTCCCAATTAGGTCATACTTAGATCCAAAGTCCATTAATCATGTTATCAAAAAGTAGCCGGTTCCTACAATATTACCGTCGATAACTTGACGGACTACCATGGAGCTTTGAGCCACTCGTAAATTTGAATAAAAGACAATTACGTATGCGAATCAGGAACATAACTGCATGCCCTCATCGCTAGTATTACATATCACAATCATGATCATGCAAAAGAACATTCAATTACAAGTCATGTTTAGTTTTTATTTATTTATTAATATATCCAAGTAAAATTATGTTTGCAGTTCGACACTAATACAATTATTATTGAGAAAGACACACACACACATATATATATATATATATATATATTTATATATATCATGATAAGGGCTAGCTAGAGCTGTAACTGGGCGAGGCGTTTGATATCAATTGGATAAGTGTCGGAAGGAAGAAAAGCAGTGTACGATCTGGATGCAGTGAGCAGATTCACAGCCTCAGTGGGATGAAAAGAATCCCAGAAAACATATGTTGTTCTGTTCTGGCATGGAGTTAAGAATGGAATACATTGACCAATATTATTCACAGGGCAGCATCCAACATTCAAAACCGTGAATCCTGAAATAATCCAAAAACAAAAATTATTCTAGATTATTATTACTGCTGCTGCTGTTGTTGTTGTTGTTTTTATATATCATTATTTTACGATTTTTTTCCTCTTAATCAGGCGATCCAAAGTTAATAAAATTAAACCACAGGATATATGATCAAGTATTTTACGGTACATAATAAACAAAAATCGTGTACTTTTTTTTAATTAGGGATTATTGATTAGTAAATTAAATGAATTTGATGATCCAGGAAAAAATAGCAAGAGATATTTGAACGTCAAATGATTGAAGTTAATTATATGCATATTTACTAAGTTAGTTATATGCATGCATACTTACTGTATATATATTAGCGTAATCAAAATGTATAGACAATCGACTCCCACCAATTAGTGGCAAAAACAAAAGGTTGCAAATGTCATATTAGTTACGTTTTTAAATAATAGAGTTTCTGACTCATGTTTCTTTTCTTTCTTTTTTCTAAGGAGAATTTTCAAAAATGCCATCAATAGTAATTAATTGATAATCATCTTATGTCACTAATAACTTATAGGTTATCTTTTTATAACTTATAGGTTATCTTTCGTAACCTGCAGTTATCACTTTGTATCCTAGTGACATTAAAATTTTGTGTAATGACATAAATAATTGAGTTAGAAAAAACAATGGTTAAACTTGAATTTTTTTCTTTTTTCAATAGATTCAACTCATTTTAATCCAAAAGGCTTTTCCTTAATTAGTTTGACCCCAAAAAAGTTAACGTCATAGAGCCAGAATGGAGCTGGGGATGTAGATAAAATTTCCAAATGCAAAATTGCTAATAAATCACTTGCATGTCCTAATGTAATAAAATTCCAATTAAAAAAAGACCAAAAAATGAAAAGAAAAAAAAAAGCAAGAAAGAAAAAAAAGAAAAGTTGAGAAATATACCGACAGATGTAGGATCCCCAGATCCTATTCCGAAACTATTGACATATATGAATTTTGCATAAGTGTATCTGCTATTGAGTTCATCAACAAGTGATATAAGCATGGTGTTGAAAATTTGTGCTGCCTCGTTGAATCTGTCTACGCAAGCAGACCCATTTGTGCCGAATGTAGATATTGCATATGGAATGCACCCAATTACTCCCACCCCAAATATGGCAACCTTCCTTGCACCCAAGTTATATAATCTCTGTAAAAAAAAATAAAAAATAAAAAAAAGAGCAAATTAATTACGCATCAAGAAGTTTAATTACGCCACAAAAAAAAAAAAAAAAATTGCGTAACTTTTGCCTTAGCGAAATTGTAAAAGTTCCACTTAGATGATAAGGAGCAAAACTTATTTAACTAATATTGCTCCGTTTGGTTTGTAGGTTGGAATTTATGAGATTTGACTTTTTTTTTATATAAGTTTAAACTGAAAAAAAAAATGTATTCTTTATGGATGGAGAGGATCAAATGGCCTAATTGAGGATGCATGGTGGCCAAATTCTAAATTTGAGGGTTCTGAACATGATATTTTCAATACAAACACGGCCTAATCTTTTGTTCCGAAATGCGCGTTTGAATGATGAGCCTGATTCGAATTGTACTGCATGGATCCGGATTTACGAACCGAACACGCAGTACTAAACAAAATCTAGATAACATGACTTGAATATCACAAGCATTGGCTAATTAGTTAAACACATTAATTAAAGTACTTAATGAATTTAATTATCACTAATTTATAAAGTACGTACGGTTATCTGCTTTCGGTATTGGTCAATAAGCTGTTGAGCATATTGCTGAGGTGTATAAATGAGGGCTGTGGTGTAAAACTGAGGCAAGAAGTAGTTGTTAAGATAATCGTTATTGCCCATTCCAACGTAGTATAAGCACTTGTTCAAGTACTTTTGGGCTGCGGTTCGGTTTCTTAGCATGGCAGTGATGCGTAGGACTGTAATTTGGTGATTTCTTAGCTGTTCATTGAGTGGGATTATATCACCCTGCAAAGACAAACAATAAAACAAGTGTTTTCTTGGATTCACGAGTCCTATATACATCAATATATACACAAAAATATTTTGTTTTATATAATTTTAGTTGAGGAATTTAAATTATATACCAATTGGTAACCAGTTTCGTCCCGAATTCCTGCAGCCCCAGATGCATAGTTCACACCTTTAAGTATGACGTTGCCTCTAGCAGTAGTATATGGCGGAATGAAGTCGTCAAAGCCAAGAAGTTGACCTGCAAATTATAAATAAATTACGAAAAGAAATCAACTCTATACTGATCAAACATGGTCCATGGATAATAATATAGAAAGGGAACACCTATTACTAGCGGAATATTTTGTCTGCATGGCCACTGCTAACCAAAAGAAAGTTGACGACATATATAACTTATAATTCAACTTATTTCTTTTTTTGTTTGATTTTATATTATGTAATTAGACTCAAAAAATTTTCAGAATCTATAATACGTTTTTTTTTTTATTTTTTTTTTTATTTTTTTTTTTATAAGATTTAGACATAAGATTGTGGATCCTAAATCTAAAATTTTTATTTTTATTTTTATTTTTTTTTTTTATAAGATTTAGACATAAGATTGTGGATCCTAAATCTAAATATCTACATATATCTTAGTCATATTTTCTTAAAATTAATTATATTATATATATCGATAATTGCTTGATCATGTTCTCCTTAAAAATGCTATTATTTCTTATTTCATTTTTTTTTATTTGCCATTGAAAACGACAAAAATAGCTTAATTAATTGAAAGCTACGAGGGAGTTGCTAACTGTTTAGGTTTCGTCCTAAAAGCTTTAACTTATTAATAGAAGTTATCCTAGTTCTTTTAAACCGATTCTAAGTTCTATGTCTAACCAAACAACTTTTGTTCAGGCATTCTAAATAGGGGTCTTTGAAGGAATTAGCTCTCTAACAAATCATGTCCTTAACGTGCACAAACACAAACTAATTCATCAACATATAAACCATATATACGCAACAAAAGTGGAGTTAAAATTAGGAATAAGGATATTAACTTATCAAAAACTTTAGCCAGAGGATCATAGCACGGATAATTATATATATATATATATATACACATATACATATAAATATACATATATATACTTATACATACACATATATATAACAGAGCTAAGAAGTAAATATAGGAATAAAAGAATAATATATGACTGCAAGTGACGAAAAGGACAGACCAAGAATGTCAGCCTGCGTTCGGCCATTGTTGAACCTTCCAGTCGGAGTACCACCAAAGTCAATCCCATACGGTTTATAATTAACTTTGGCTTCTGTGAGAAGTGGATTGTTATTTCCATTATCAACCAGAGAGTCGCCAAATATGAAAAAACATGGAACTTGTGGATCTCCATTGACACCATTAATCTGCAATATGTATGCTACAAGTGACATAGCAAATAGCACAACCAATACTTTCGTTTGACCAGCCATTGGAATATAGGACAAGGTAATTTGAATATATATATATATATATATATATAATTTCACTTAGATGATGAATTTGGTAGCTAGAGAGGTATATACATATATAAATAACGCGCGCGCACAACGAAATGAAGGGGGTGTGTGTGTAAACTCTAATGCAATGCTATGCATTCTTATAGGTCCAGATATATTGGATACGTACCCAACTTGCAATATAAATTATTTATGGAGAGATAATATATAATATGGTTGAAATCGAAATTAGAAAACGAAAAGAGGAAACAAGTTTAGGCAATGTAACGGAATGAGTTTTGGTCAAGGGATGAGAACCGTATTGGTGATGTGACTGGTGGGCAAGTTGCTGATAATATATTAAATTAGCTAACGAATTATATTGCGTGCATATATTATATACCTTGATATAATGACGCAGAACTTCTCCAGTCATATTTTTATTTTCTTCTCTGTCTAGAAAGCATAATTCATCCATATTTTCTGAATTCATCAAAACTCTGGGTGGCCAATTTGGATTAATTTATTATATCATTAAAAAATGAACTAATTTATCATGTTAATTATGGAATAATTTTTAAGATTAATTTAGAATTAGTTTGTGTATATTTCTAAAAAAAAAATGTGATAAAAGACTGGTATTTCTATTAAGTAGCTAGTTTTTTTTCCCCCCCCTTGGAAATCCTACAAAATGGTTTAGAGATTTAATCTCTTCTCTTCTTCTTACATGCATGCCTTAATTGCCTTTTCGCTTTACATTAATAATAGTCAAAGGGAATAAACAACGACTTGTGGAGTGAAAAAAAAAAAAAAAGAAACGAAAAAGAAAAGATTCTAGCAAATAGTTCAAGTCATGTCAATTCATAGTCAATTATGATCAGCTAGGGCTTAATATTCCCAATTCCTTTTGCACCTATAGATTTAGAGTTTCTATTATTTGTGCACTAAGTCCCAAATCCAAAACACAAATTAACTAGGAAGTATTCTTCCATAACATGTTTTAGAGTTTAAAGATACTTTCCTCATCATTTCAATAATATCCTAATTTGTATCATATCCCTTGTATATGTGTGTACTGTCATTTCATGTGTGTGTTCATATGCTTGGAGTTGTTTGTTATACTATTTAATTAAATTGTTATATCACGCGCATTTATAAATATCATTCGCTTTATGACTTATTTGCCAAAAAAAGGTGCATTTAGTTTGATTCAATGAACATTGAAATTAAAATGTCAACTTTGGGAAAATAATAATTTTATATTGTTAAGATTAGTTGGAAGATTTTTTATTTTTTTATTTTTTTTGGAGGGGATACCCTACTCCACTTTTGCCCCCGATACCCCCTAATTTAGAGCGGGGGCAAGGTCGGAGAGGCCACCAAGTAAACTATTCTCATTACTTATTTATCCATTAAGAGTTAAAAAAGAAATATTTATTGTGACACTATCAAACTCAAAGCAATTTTGATGAAATTAATTGTAAAATATAGCAACATCTCTAATGTCTCATAAAATAGAAGCAAAAACAAAATCTAAAATCTAACAACCCGAAAATTAAATTTGTACAACAAACTAAAACATGTGCTGTTTGGACTTATTCTTACTTGTTTTTAAAACATTTCTACGCGTCTTTTGAGGTAGAAAAATAAAAACGGTATGTAAATCACATTTAGTTCACAAATACTTTGAAAACAAAAACGAAAATAAAAAATAGTGAAAATGGTTTTTGTTAAGGAAGTAAAAAGTGGTTAAAAGTTGTTTTGCATTTAGTTAACAAATACTTTGAAAACAAAAAGTGAAAATGGTTTTTGTTAAGGAAGTAAAAAGTGGTTAAAAGTTGTTTTTCCCTTTTTCATTTTAATTTTTTTAAGTTTTAACTTAATTGATACATGATATTTAAAACATTCTCAAACACAATTTTACTTTTTTTGTACCTAAAAAAAATATCTAATAAATATAACCGAATGCAATTTCAAATATAATCTTAACACAATTCTCAAAAAATTCTTATTTTTATTTCCATACTCAAAATAAAACCATTGAAAATACTATAAAATGGGAACACTAATATCCTATATTTAAAGTAAAAGTACATATAATCAAGTCAGGGCGGCGGGGCTATAGAACCGTCCCTGACTCGGGAGTTAATTTAACCCCATATCCGTCCCCATTTTCATATAACATTACCCACCCTATTAATGGCATAGACAAAGAAGCCATAATCTCTAAGAAGTAGGATTTAAAACTAATTATTCCTTATCCCACCAAATGTTATATACATATATATTATCAAATGGACCACTCATTTCGTTCAAAATATGATGTAAATCACAATTATTTTATTATTCAATAAAATTATCTTACCCTAAATTACCTATCCCAATTGATGTTTACCTTAAGTTATAATTCCTACTATCCCAATATGAAACAACTAGTAAAAGAGTACACCAAAGAAAAATATTTATATTATTTGTGTATATTCTATAAAGTGACAAGTTTATTTATTATTTTTTCTATTTTAATTTTATTATATTATTTTTGTCATAATTCACTGTATAATTTTTTCTAAGGGAAATTCACTGTATAATTCAATTCTGTCAAACAAAGAGTCATATTTCCTGGTATGCAAGCAAACATTGTATATCTAGTTTAATTTATATATTTCATTAGTTTGAATGCGTGTAATAGAACAAAATAATTTTTAAACTTAAATTATCCTTATTTAGCTTTTGTTTGCACTTTTAGTGGTCGCGCGCATTTACAGTATAATGACAATTATACACTCGATTTCACTTTAAAATGTAGGGTTCAAATCCCTCCATATATCACATTTTCTTTAAAAAAAAAAAAAAAACATTCTTCTTTTCTTTTCTACTAATAGGGTTGTTTTTTTTTTTTTTTTTTTTTTTTTTTTTTTTTTTTGAAATGCTACGTAAATTAGTTAATTAAAATCCTGCGCATTAAACCGTTTTGGAATAGATTATCAAATCTATTGGTTCAAAATTTCCACGGTTAGGTTTGGTATCTGAGTTGAGGGGCTAGGTTGGGCGTACTTATGTTAATTCGTCAGTTGGTGTTGACTATTGAGATTAATATTAAGATCGTTTAAATTCCTATTATCTGTGTGTGTTTAGAGCATAGAAAAACTATTTTCATCTGCGTCGATTTATTCCATGCATAAGAGTTCTCAATTAATTAGGGATTGCACATTTATTTATGAGTACTCATACCTAGGGATATCCTTCCTTAATAGAGCAGGTATGCCGGATGCAATTTGAGGGTGCGGGCAGTCAGGGGCTGGGGAGCGTCCCCGCCCCCCACCTGACCCGATTTTGTCTCTGTATGAAGAGATACTTTTTCCCTTAAACCACCGGTTTACTCTGAAGTAGACTACTGGTTTACTTTTTGCAATGCTTGCGCCAATCTCCTCCCTCCACATGATGCTAACATCAATATCCTTTACAATTTGGGTAAGAATTTTGTTCCCTCTACGCACACGGTCTTTATCATCCATAACGCAAAGTTCATAATTTCATTATTATTAAATATGATGTAAGAGAGTTTGTAATAAATCTCAACTTAAAGTGTCTCAAAATCTCCCAAGTCTAAATATGATAACACAAGCAAAATAAAAAGCTCATACTTCATAGCATGAAATTCCTTAAAAACAAGACAATTCTCCAAAATATTCAAGGACATAAAAGAAAAATAGATTCTAAAGAAAAAGATCGACAGGCATGCGGGTTCAAGCTGCTAGCCAAAAATCAAAAGCCACTTCCGGCTACTAAAAAACGTGGGTGAATTGAAAACCCACCAAAAATTGACGGGTAATGATGTGCTCCCGTTTTGACAGGCAAGCAGAAGGCAGGGTGAGCGGTTTGGGCGGGTCAACCAACCCGACCTTTTGGCTTGGACGACAATGTTTTGTCCTTGTAGAACTTACCAAATTCATGTAATGAATGGCCATTCCTCTAATTGGATCATTTCTCTTCTCAATTGGATTTGTAAAGATTTTACATATAAAAATATAGTTTCTATTACATAAATAATTCTTAAAAAAAAACGAAATATCATACATTAAGCATTTTGTTGAAACTTATGATGACCCTTAACTTTCGGTCATCATTTCTACGTTCATATTTAGTATTATCAATCTTCTATTACTTTTCAATTATAATCTCTTAAAAATTCAAGCTATTTTTTTTTTCAACAGTAGTAAAATTGATTCTAATACTCTTTGCGGAATAAATCTTCGTTTAATAATTTTTATAAAATTTGAACATCAAAAGTTACTATCCCGAAAATATTTTCAAATTTTATTTTAAAACTTTGATCTTGTCCTCCTTATTCGTGGACATGTATTTAACATATTATTCGCATATCATTACCATTCATATGTCATAAATGCTATAGCATTTTTGCTATGCACTCCGTTAATGCTATAACATTTAGGCTCCGTTCATTTCGCCGATTTGAGTTTAGAATTCGAGTTTTGCTACAGTAAAAAGCTCTCAGAAACAGTCACCTCTAACTTTTTTCCTACAGTAAAAAGCTCTCACATAAAGTCACATCTCAACTCGAATCAGCGAACTAAACGGGCCCTTAGATACATTAATCATACCTTGTGACTTGAGGTTAATATGCATAGCCTCACTGTCTCGTAAACTCAACTTTCGTTACATAACTCATCTATATTCATAAAACATTATTTACTTTATACACCTAAAGCTTAGCAGGGTTTCCAAAACACGTGATGCATCCACTACCTACTTGCCCACACTCCGCTGCGACATCTCTCTGCATGCCCAGCAACAAGTTTCAGGGAGCCGGTGCCTTACCTGAGCTTCCTACAACACGAAAAAACTTAATGAGCTTTCGCTCAGCAAGTAACAGTAGGTCATAATACATGCAATAATTATGCATACCCATATGTCATATATCCTAAGACACTCTGTACTTCTAAAATGTATATCACTTAAGTTCTTCTTTTTTC